TACACTGAAAAAAATGTTTCATTCATCCAATTAAAAAATTTTTTTGGTAATGATTCACATCTATATTTTTTTAACTTGAGCCAATGAAAAATAAATAACTTGCCCGTAGGGCAAAAATAAATAAATAATAAATAAAAAATTGAAAAACAAATAACTTGCCCTTAGGGCAAGTTATTTACAGTGGGTACGGAAAGTATTCAGACCCCCTTAAATTTTTCACTCTTTGTTATATTGCAGCCATTTGCTAAAATCATTTAAGTTCATTTTTTTTCCTCATTAATGTACACACAGCACCCCATATTGACAGAAAAACAGAATTGTTGACATTTTTGCAGATTTATTAAAAAAGAAAAACTGAAATATCACATGGTCTTAAGTATTCAGACCCTTTGCTGTGACACTCATATATTTAACTCAGGTGCTGTCCATTTGTTCTGATCATCCTTGAGATGGTTCTACACCTTCATTTGAGTCCAGCTGTGTTTGATTATACTGATTGGACTTGATTAGGAAAGCCACACACCTGTCTATATAAGACCTTACAGCTCACAGTGCATGTCAGAGCAAATGAGAATCATGAGGTCAAAGGAATTGCCTGAAGAGCTCAGAGACAGAATTGTGGCAAGGCACAGATCTGGCCAAGGTTACAAAAAAATTTCTGTTGCACTTAAGGTTCCTAAGAGCACAGTGGCCTCCATAATCCTTAAATGGAAGACGTTTGGGACGACCAGAACCCTTCCTAGAGCTGGCCGTCTGGCCAAACTGAGCTATCGGGGGAGAAGAGCCTTGGTGAGAGAGGTAAAGAAGAACCCAAAGATCACTGTGGCTGAGCTCCAGAGATGCAGTCGGGAGATGGGAGAAAGTTGTAGAAAGTCAACCATCACTGCAGCCCTCCACCAGTTGGGGCTTTATGGCAGAGTGGCCCGACGGAAGCCTCTCCTCAGTGCAAGACACATGAAAGCCTGCATGGAGTTTGCTAAAAAACACCTGAAGGACTCCAAGATGGTGAGAAATAAGATTCTCTGGTCTGATGAGACCAAGATAGAACTTTTTGGCCTTAATTCTAAGCGGTATGTGTGGAGAAAACCAGGCACCTGTCCAATACAGTCCCAACAGTGAAGCATGGTGGTGGCATCATCATGCTGTGGGGGTGTTTTTCAGCTGCAGGGACAGGACGACTGGTTGCAATTGAGGGAAAGATGAATGCGGCCAAGTACAGGGATATTCTGGACGAAAACCTTCTCCAGAGTGCTCAGGACCTCAGACTGGGCCGAAGGTTTACCTTCCAACAAGACAATGACCCTAAGCACACAGCTAAAATAACGAAGGAGTGGCTTCACAACAACTCTGTGACTGTTCTTGAATGGCCCAGCCAGAGCCCTGACTTAAATCCAATTGAGCATCTCTGGAGAGACCTAAAGATGGCTGTCCACCAACGTTTACCATCCCACCTGACAGAACTGGAGAGGATCTGCAAGGAGGAATGGCAGAGGATTCCCAAATCCAGGTGTGAAAAACTTGTTGCGTCTTTCCCAAAAAGACTCATGGCTGTGTTAGATCAAAAGGGTGCTTCTACTAAATACTGAGCAACGGGTCTGAATACTTAGGACCATGTGATATTTCAGTTTTTCTTTTTTAATAAATCTGCAAAAATGTCAACAATTCTGTGTTTTTCTGTCAATATGGGGTGCTGTGTGTACATTAATGAGGAAAAAAAATTAACTTAAATGATTTTAGCAAATGGCTGCAATATAACAAAGAGTGAAAAATTGAAGGGGGTCTGAATACTTTCCGTACCCACTGTATGTCTATAGTTTTTACTCATTTTTATTTCATTTCAGCTTGAGTTATTTTAATACATCAGAGCAGAAATGTTAAAAGACGATTTTCAGTCATGTTTCCTGAACACGCCCCCTGTCTGTCATTGGTCAGTCAGGCAGATAGCCCTGCCCACTCTCACTCCATTGGTTGATTCAGTAGTTGACATTAGCCGCTCAAACAGATCAGAGTCAAAATATTTTGTCTTTTTATAACTCATTTGTTTTTATTTTAATCTATTATGTCAATATGAACAGTTTGAAACGATCCAATAAAATCATCCAGTTAAGTGCTGTGAGTACACTAGAATAACATGAATATAATCAGCGCTCGAGCTCAAACTCTCATCATCAAACAGTATTTCTTCACTGTGATGATCCAGACTTGGTGAGAATGAAGAAATCATGTGTGATTTACTCCAGATTGAGACACACACAGCTCTCCAGATCAGCAGAAGGAGGCTCTGAAGCGTTTCTCGTGTAATGTGTGTCATTAATAGCCAATCAGTGTCCTGTGAGACTCAGTCTGCTCAGTTTAATTACAGATTACTGATGAATAGACACGCACTGAAGCTCTGTTCTTCTGGACCGGATCGATCCGTGTTCGTCTCAGTCACTCACTGAAGAAATAGTCACCTATAAATGTCAGTATATAGGACAAAACTTCTGAGGTATTGCATCAAATTTCCATTCATTTGGATTACACAGTTCTAACATAAACTAATAAACTTAAAGGGTTAGTTCAGCCAAAAATGAAAATTAGTCCATAAATTACTCACCCTCAAGTCATCCTAGGTGTATATGACTTTCCTCTTTCAGACGAATCCAGTCAGAGTTATATAAAAAAATGTCTTTGATCTTTCAAGCTGTTTAATGGCACTCAGCGGGTGTTGCATGCATCAGTCCAAAAGAACTTAAATAAAAAGTGCCCATCCATAAAACAGTGTCTCACACGGCTCCGGGGGGTGAACAAAGGCCTCCAGATATGCTGATTCCAAGCAATTTCATAAATGCATTAAAAAAATTATGATTATTTAAATTAAATCAAATGCATGTAAATAATAACTATACTACGATTTTTGAGTGCAGAAATCTGACCTGTTTCATTTATGACTGACAAATATGGATCTCATTAAGTTTATTACTTTGTTAAAATGGTGAGATGCAAATGCATGTAAATCTGATACCAATTAAATAGGATTTAAACCTGTAAGACTTCCTTTCTTTTGAGGAACACAAAAGGAGATGTTTAACAGGATGTTCACGCTCTTTTCTACATTTATAGTGAGCAAAACGTGAATTCTGAGTAGGGCTGCAAAACGATTAGTCGCGATTAATCGATTAAAAATAAAAGCTTATGTTTACATACTATATGTATATATAATTACATATATGTATATACACGATATGTATATATAAATACACACACACATATAGTATGTAAACATAAACTTATATTTTGAATCGATTAATCGCGACTAATCGTTTTGCAGTGCTAATTCTGAGTATGTTTGCGAGTCGTTAGCACTGAAGTCAATGAGTAAGGTCTGTTTCAGGTGAACGGGAGGGATCTGTCGAGAGCCAGTCATGAGGAGGCGGCGGAGGCTTTACGCAGCGCTAAAGACCCCATCGTGGTGCAGGTGCTCCGGCGGACCCCTCGGCCCCGGGGTCAAGGGTCAGCGCAGGACGTCCAGCTGGTGGACGTGTGCACACAGACGGAGATCACCTTCGAGCACATCATGGCTTTGGCCAAACTGCGTCCCGCCACGCCGCCGGTGCCGGACATCTGCCCCTTCCTCCTGTCCGACAGGTGAGCGCCAACACATTCAGCTTAGAGAATATAGCTAGCTTATGTATGTCCGTTTTTCCCCAAAAACTACCATGATTACGTATGTGATACTGATTTTTTACAACAGTTCAATAAACAAAAAATTAATTAAGAGACTTATGTTTTAGACACCGTATTGCCCGTTTTTGCGCTATTTCGCCAACAAAAAATGGTTCAAAACCCAGCCACAGCACTGTTTTGCGTCTCTGAGCAACATGATGGTGTTTCGTTCCTGAATGAATCAGCCATTAAATGATTCGGTTCAGTCGCAATGACTCGCTTATTAACAGTGACTTGCTGCCACCTGCTGGCGGTTTTAATTTCACATTTAAAGTATTTTATTTTATTATTTAAAATAATTTCAAATATCAGTATTCAGTGTTTTATGTTTAATATATCAAAACATTTATGCATTTGTAACTGCAGGTTAAATGTCCTGCATTAAACAGTGTGTAAACGCATCTAAATGCCACTTCATATGCAGCTTCCCTGTTTCCTCTGCATTGCAAATATGAATTTTATTGATACTGATTTCATTTGCTTGGTAACAGCCCAAATGCCTTATTATTCTAATTCACTGATTAAATGTAAGAATTTGACTCAAAAGATAATGCACACTTTTAGAAAAGTGGCTTTATAAACGTAAAAATGCCCATAAAAGGTAAAAATCAATTTAAACTTATTAGAAAAGATTAATTTCTATCAGTGTGAACTGACCACCACACAGAATATGAAGAATATCAAAAACTTTAGGAGACAGTTTAAGATATCAGCACAATAACTCAGCAAAATATCTTCCAATTATCGTTATTGATAAAATCACAGAAAATATCGAGATATAATTTTTTTTGTCAATATCGCACACCCCTACTGGAAGCTCCTGACACCAAGACAAAGTCCTTGTGTGTGTAAACACACTTGCAATAAAGCTCTTTCTGGTTCTGAAAACATTGTGGGAACGTTGTTTTGAAAGGTTTTTGAAACGTTGAAATGTTCAGTTTTCTTGTCATGATTACAATGTTATTTAAAGGTTACAAAAACGTTTGTTATGACATTGCACTAACTTTATTTTCACCCAAATTATAGCGTAATTTGAACATTTATTTTTCATATTCTAAGAACGTTGATATGTCCAGTTTTCTTGTTGTTATTAGAATGTTACTTAAAGGTTGCAGAAGCGTTTCTTACAGTATTCTACTACTGTAACTTTTTCACCCAAAATATAACATTTTTTCAACATTTATTTTTTATAATATTCCACAACTGTTAAAATGTCCAGTTTTCGCGTCATGATTAAAAACGTTATTTAAAGGTTACGAAAACATTTCTTCAATGCTCTGCTAACTTTTCCACCCAAAATATAGCATTATTTGAATGTTTATTTTTAATATTCTACAAATGTTAAAAAGTCTAGTTTTCTTGTCATGGTTACAATGTTATTTAAAGGTTACAAAAATATTTCTTTATTTTCATCCACAATATGACATTATTTAAAGTATTCATTTTTCTTGTCATAATTAGAATGAAATTTAAAAGTTACAAAAGTTTGACAACATTCTACTAACTTTGTTTTTCACCAAAAATATAACGTTGTTTGAACGTTTATTTTTCATATTCTAAGAATGTTAAAATGTCCAGTTGTTCTTGTGATTAGAACGTTATTTAAAGGTTACAAAATGTTTCATAGAACATTCAGGTATGAATAACATAAGAATGTTTTGAGAATGTTGATCTCAGAATGTTTTTTTTTTTCTTTTAACGTTATAAGAACATACATAGATCAAATATTAATGAAGTGAAAAGAATGTTCTGTAAACATTACTTTAAGAATGTTTTGTTCTAACATTCATATCACTTAAATAACATTAGTGAAAGTTGTGAGAACGTTCCCCGTCAGCTGGTAAGGCATCATGAGGTTTCCTCGAAAACGTTGCTCGTTTGCTCGATTCTTTCATAATTTTCTCTTTCTTGTTGTGGAGTTGGTCTGTCAGGAGAAAGGAGATAAAGATTAGCATGAGGAGTATCTGGGTCTCTCCTCAAGAGACACAGGGGCGGCTGCAGTGGATGCTGGGAAGTTAATTGAAAGCATCTGAGGCGCAGAGAGGGTGTTAGGGAGGTAATTAATGCCGCACAATGGCCCGTTGATAATTCATAGTCTAAAATTTGTCACCCGCTCAAGATCTGCGTTTTGTTTCTAAATTCCCTTTGGTACATCGTATGCTGATGTGGACTTTTTGAATTCCTTTGTTCTTCCAGACAAAAGCATTCAGGGATTCTCTGTGAATGTTGTTGTTGTTGTTGTTGTAATAGTGCCTGGAAGTATGAATTATCCAGGAATAATTAACAGTAATCTCAACCTTATGGACTGTTCGCCATTTGGATAGATGGATGGATGGATAGATGATAGATGGATGGATGGAGGAATTGGATGGATGGATGGATAGCTGAATAGATGATAGATGGATGGATGGATGGATGGATGGATGGATGAATTGGATGGATGGATGGATAGCTGAATAGATGATAGATGGATGGATGGATGGATGAATTGGATAGATGGATGGATGGATGGATGGATGGAGGAATTGGATGGATGGATGAATTGGATAGATAGATAGATAGATAGATAGATAGATAGATAGATAGATAGATGGATGGATGGATGGATGGATGGATGGATGGATGGGTGGGTGGGTGGATGGATGAATTGGATATATGGATGGATAGATGGATGAATGGATGGATTGATGGATGAATGAATGGATGGATTGATGGATTGATAGATGGATGAATTGGATAGATAGATGGATGGATGAATTGGATAGATGGATGGATGGATAGATAGATAGATAGATAGATAGATAGATAGATAGATAGATAGATGAATTGATAGATGGATGGATGAATTGGATAGATGGATGAATGGATGGATTGATAGATAGATGAACTAGATAGATAGATGGATGGATGAATTGGATAGATGGATGGATGGAGGAATTGGATGGATGGATGGATGGATGGGTGGATGGATAGATAGATAGATGAATTGATAGATGGATGGATGAATTGATAGATGGATGGATGGATGGATTGATAGATTGATGGATGAATTGGATAGATGGATGGATGGATGAATTGGATAGATAGATGGATGGGTGAATTGGATGGACGGATGGATGAATTGGATAGATGAATTGGATGGATTGATGGATGGATGGATGGATGGATGAATTAATTGGATAGATGGATGGATGGATGAATTGGATAGATGGATGGATGGATTGGAGAGATAGATGGATGGATGAATGGATGGATGGATGGATGAATTGGATGGATGGATGGATGAATGAATGAATTGGATAGATGGATGGATGGATGGATTGATAGATAGATGGATGGATAGATGGATGAATTGGATGGATGATAGATGTATGGATGATGGATGTATGGATTGGATAGATGGATGGATGGATGAATTGGATAGATGGATGATGGATGGATGGATGAATTAATTGGATAGATAGATGGATGGATTGGAGAGATGGATGGATAGATAGGTGGATGGATGGATGGATGGATGGATGAATGAATTGGATAGATAGA